AGAATTTTTTTTTTCCCCCATAGAGATGGAGTCTTGCTATGTTACCCAGGCTGGTCTTGAGCCCCTGGCCTCAAGCATTCCTCCCATCTCATACCTGCTGGGACTGCAGACATAAGTCACTTTGGCTAGCCCTGAAATTATAAAATAAAAGGCATTATTTACTTCAGGAAAAACAAAAAGTAAAAAATGAGGAATAAAAATGTGCTACAATGCTTAACTGTTGATAATATATGCGTAGGCAAAATCATATAAAATTGCATTTTGATCTAACCCCAAATTAAAACTTAACCACATTGGGAGGATGGGGTAACAGGAAACTGATTGATTTAAAATTCACGAGTCAAGGCCAGGTGAGGTGGCTGGCACCTGTAATCCTAGCACTCTGGAAGGCCAAGGCAGGTGGATTGCTTGAGCTCAGGAGTTTGAGATCAGCCTGAGCAAGAGCAAGACTAGTGGCTGGTGCCTGTAGTCCCAGCTACTTGGGAGGCTGAGGTGAGAAGATCTGGAGCCCAAGAGTTTGAGGTTGCTGTGAGCTATGATGCCACAGCACTCTACTTAGGCTGTCTAAATAAATAAATAAAATTAATGAGTCAAAAGATAGCAATATATGCATAATTTAGAAATATAGAGGTATGCAAATGCCAGAAGAAATAGAGTCAAAAAGGGTTGCCTCTGGTGAGGGGAACTGGAGGGTAAAAGGAGATAGAAGGGGTGGGCTAGTGGCTCTTTATATCCTTTTAGTTCCATTTGGCCTTTTAACACACTTTAATAAAAAATACATAATTTTCAAAATTCTTTCATGATAAAAACTTTAACATCCACTAAGATTAAAAAATATTAGTGTCAGGTGGCACCTGTGGCTCAGTGAGTAGGGTGCTGGCCTTATATAACAGGGGTGGCAGGTTCAAACCTGGCCCCGGCCAAACTGCAACAAAAAAATAGCTGGGCATTGTGGCAAGGAGCCTGTAGTCCCAGCTACTCGGGAGGCTGAGGCAAGAGAATTGCCTAAGCCCAGGAGCTGGAGGTTGCTATGAGCTATGACAGTACGGCATTCTACCGAGGGTGATAAGGTAAGACTCTGTCTCTTAAAAAAAAAAAAAAAAAATTAGTGTCAAGTTAAACAGAAAAATGTTCTCATTAAAAATGCTTTTTTTGGCTGGGCTCAATGGCTCATGCCTGTAATCCTAGCACTCTAGGAGGCTGAGGTAGGAGGATTGCTTAAGGTCAGGAGTTTGCGACTAGCCTCAGCAAGAGTGAGACTTATCTTTACTAAAAATAGAAAATAGGCCATGCATATGTCTCACGTCTGTAATGTTAACACTCTGGGAGGCTGAGGCAGGAGGATCCTTGAGGCCAGCAGTTTGAGAGCAGCCCAAGCAAGAGGGAGACCTTGTCTCTACCAAAAATTAGAAAAATTAGCCAGGTGCAGTGATACCTATAGTCCCAGCTACTTGGGAAGCTGAGGCAGGAGGATCACTTGAGCCCAGGATTTTGAGCTTGCTGCAAGCTAGGCTGATACCATGGCACTCTACCCAGGGCAAAAGAGTGAGACTCTGTCTCCAAAAAAAAAGAAAGGAAGAAAAAAAAAAAGAAAGAAAATGGTGGAATGAGAGACCAGATCCTTGCAAAGGTCATGGGTCTCCGGGTAGAAGAGATCAACTCAACTACTAGGTGTACCTTAGGCAGAGTGGCAGGCTACTGATGTGCTACTGTGTGCACAGCTTTCTGGGAATGGTCACTGGAGCCACAGGGTCCCCCATAGGGAAAGATTTCAGCAGCATTCAGGGAAAGATTTCAGCAGCATTCACATGCAATGGCACAGACTGCAGAAACCAGGCCTGCTGAACAAAGCTGCACAATGCTTCTTCATAGGTGACTACTGAAACTAAAGGCAAGACAGCTTCTTAAGAGTTCCACCAAAATATAAAATATACACCTTTCTTGGACTAGGACAAAGTGGGGCGAGAGTTGGCAGCAGAAGCCCTAAGAAAGTGTAGGCACATTACCAGCCCTAATTCTATCCTCTTGGTAAAATCACTGGCTTGGAAGGCTTCATGGTTTAGGAGCTAAGCTGTATAATCTAGCTATTCCTCTCCACTCCAGGCAGAACTTACAGATTTTGTTGGTGGCATTTCATGCTGGGCAGGGGTCGCTGAGTAGGGGCCTAACTTAAAGCTTTGAGCAACAGATTACCCTGCCAGAAGACTCCTCTCTATCCAGCACAGACAGAAAGGCTCCTCAAAGAATTCTTCTCCCTTCCCCTAAACAGGGAGCCTAGGATATCAAGATATAATTGCACCTGCAGGAGAGAAGGTTGGTATTCTATGAATGAACCATAGGTTGGTAACCTATGAACTTTCTTAATTGCTCAGTCTGTAGGGAAGGGCCTATGGGATTCTGGCTTCTGGTTGAGTCCTGCTCTGCTAACTGCAATTAGAATTCCTGCCACCTGAGGGCACTATTGGAAAGCAAAGCGTAGAGGGGAGCTTTGGACGTGGAGCTTAGGAATCAACTAGGATAGTTCACAGTAAAGGCAAGCAGAGAAACAGAAATTTGCATGTGTTCTGAAACAAAGGAGCTGTGTATGAAGATGGGAGGTAATTCTTATAGGCAAATTGAAGATGAAGACTAATGAGATTGCCTTGAGGCTTTGGTACGATGTCTTTGGTCTTCCTTTTGGTTGGGAATAGGCTTGCTAAGGACAGAGAGCCAATTTCCTGTAGATCCCTCGAAGGTAGAGGGGCCTGCTCCTCGACCCTAGCTCCCACCTGACCGAAGGACAGAATTGGACACTAAGTCCTGGCCAAGAAGTGGAGCATCGCCGAGAAGATACAGGAACCTGAGCAGCAGGGTCTGGCTTTTGGTCAAAGGTTGGGAGTTGGGTGGGGATCAAGTGGAATAGGGACTGAGGAAGACTGTCAGTTAGACAAACTAGATGTACATAGAGGTGGAGGGATCCTGGAGGTCACTGCTGGACTAAATCTACTCCAAAGGGAAGTACAGCAACCAGGTGGGGCCAGGGGCACTGACATAGAAAACATTTCTTCTGGAACAGTGAGCAGTGAGCAAGTATAGAATGAGTATACAGAAGTATATACTAAACACGTATTCATTTTTGTTGTTGCTGTTGCAATTGTTCCTCTTAAAAAATAGCAGTTTAGAAGAAGTTATACCTGTAACTCCTATGAATCCAGAGGCTCTCATGGATTTGCCCAGAGCCATGAGGCTACAGTGGAAGCCCCATTCCAAATGGGAATTCCAGATGTGACTCACATCATTCACATTAACTCATGCTAACTTTTATGTGAAACTCATATGCTCTCCTCCAGTGCTCCCAAACTTCTGGCCAGATGATGTCTCTTTGTCTGTCTGTCTGTCTCCCCCCCCCCCACCCATCCATCCATCCACTGCTCCACCACCCTGAGCAGAGTGGCTGTCCTCCCCTAGATTGCCGTTTCCTTCCTCTTGTCCTAGCAGCTTCTCTGATTCTGAGTATCTCAGCCAAAAATACCAAAGCAATCCAGAAAATATCCAGCCACACGATGTGAAAAATAGAGATAAATGTGGCTGAATACTTTCTGGACAGTCCTTGACTATGTCACAGAAATCCAGAGGACTCTTCTGACTTACTGTGGGGCCTCCACAGAGAGTCAGAGAAGGGGAGGAGAAGAAGGATAGTTTTAGGAAGCAATTTCTATATACGTCATTTTCCCAATTTATTGTTTTTTTTTTTATAAGTTACAAAGAAGAAGCAAACTTTAAATGTGTTCCTTACAGGTCCACTCACACACATAGCCTGAGGCCTCTGGTGGGGGAATACACACCAGTGCAGGGAGACATGCCTTTGTTCAGACATTTACTTTTACATGTGGCCTATCCTCTGCCAAAATTGCTTATCATCTTCTCCAATTTGACAAACTTACTGCTTTCCATTTCCAGTGATTCTCGTCCTCAGAGGAGTCTAATATTTTGTTTAGTTCTTTATTGAAGCTAAAGATCATAATAGCCTTTTTGCTTACTGTTCCTATCCTCACTGCAACCCTTATTTGCTTTTGTTTAAATGAATAATGCACATGTAGTTAAATACGTGGGAGATATGCTTTTGAATTCTCATATGTGTAGAATAGACAATGACTTTGGAGAATGATTCAATGAATTACAGACAGTGTCCAGTTATAGTTACTTACAACTGTAACTCCTTTATAAAAACTGAGTTTATGGGCTTGGTGCCTGTGGCTCAAGTGGCTAAGGCGCCAGCCATATACACCTGAGCTGGTGGGTTTGAATCCAGCCCGGGCCTGCCAAACAACAATGACAGCTGCAACCAAAAAATAGGCAGGCGTTGTGGTGGGCGCCTGGAATCCCAGCTACTTGGGAGG